GCAGTGTTAGATGACACTCAAGAGCATTGCGTAGAAGTCAGACAGAAAACCCTACAATCTGTGTGATTCCATTTATGTGGAATTCTAGAAAATTTAAAATTATAATGACAGCCCTGGTTGGAGTGGCTCAGTTGGTTGGAGCATTGTCCCATACACTGAAAGGTGGTGGGTTTGATTCCTGGTGAGAGCACATTACTGAGTTGTGGCTTCAATTCCTGGTTGGGATGCATACAGGAAAGCAACTGATTGATGTTTCTCTCTCACATCTCTCTCTCTCTCTCTCTCTCTCTGCCTTCCCCTCTCTCTAAAGTCAATGAGCATGTCCTCAGGTGAAGATTAAAAAAATTTAAGCCCTGGCCATTTTGCTCAGTGGTTAGAGCATCAGCCTTCGGACCAGAGAGTCCCAGGTTTGGTTTCCACTAAGGGCACGTACCTCGGTTACAGTTGGTCCCCAGCCCTGGTTGGGGTCATGTGGGTGGGAACCACACTATGTGTCTCTCTCACATCAATGTTTCTCTCTCTCTTTTCCTCCCTCTCTCCCTCCCACTCTGTCTGAAGATAAATGCAAAAATGTCCTCGAGTGAGGATAAAAAAAAAAAATTTAAAAACTGCCCTGCCGGTGTGGCTCAGTGGTTGAGCATCAACCCATGCACCAAGAGGTTGCCGGTTCAATTCCCGGTCAGGGCACATGCCCAGGTTGTGGGCCCAATCCCCAGTGGGGGGCATGCAGGAGGTGGCCGATGTTCTCTCTCATTGATGTTTCTGTCTCTCTCTGCCTCTCCCTTCCTCTCTCTCTAAAAACAAATCAATAAAGAAAAAATTTAAAAAATAAAAAAAACTATAATGACAAAACACATCAGTTGTTGCCAAATGGCAGAGGGAAGTGACTAAAAGGGGGTGCTGGGAACATTTGAGATCATGGATATAGGCTGTACCTTTACTGTAGTACTTCGTGAGTTTATGCATCCATCATACCTCATCCAACATCACCTTAGAAAGGTGAGTTTCATGGTATGTCAATCATACGTCAGTTAGTCTGACTCAGAAACAAACACTGCGTCAGGTGGGCCTCGGCCTGGCCCTGTGTGTGAGGTGAGCTGTTGTTCACTGCTAGGGTGACGGTTACCTTTCAGCTCCCCTCATCCCTTCAGAAACACTGTGACTCTCTTCAATTCTTCTCTTCTCAGATCTCCCACCCCCTCCCCGGAACAGCTGGTATTGCAGGTGCAGAATTCACTCTTGCCCGGGTTGTGCAAGAGTTTTCGTTGGGTTCAGGCCTAGTGTGGGATAAGGCCTCTCCCATTATGGAGGGCACTGTGCTTTACCCAAAGCCCGCTCATTGAAATGCTAATCTCATCCAAAAACACCCTCAGGGGACGAACGAGCAGGATAACGTGGAGCCACAGATCTGGGCCCCAGGCACAGCCACGCTGACGCTGACGCATAGAATCAACCATCACTACTGTGTTCAACTGTTTCTCCCCGTTTGTGGGGAAAAGGAATAGAATCTCAGGCAATGAGCTCCTCAGAACTGCTTTCCTGACTTGGGTAATAATGAGAATCCCTTGGAGACACGTGTTAAAACTGCAGGTCCCCTCCCCAGCAGATTCCGACCTAGGGGGTCTGGGGTGAGCTCCAGGTTCTGCAGTTTGAATAAGCTTCTTACAGGATTAAGAGCAGGCGAATCTGGGCAACAGCACATTAAAAACACCTACTTGCCACCAGGAACCAGACTCTCTGGCGGGATTCACAGGGCGTTCGCGTGATGTGAATCCTATCATTTGCAGCTGCTTTAATGGTACACAACAAAGTCTACTTGAGAACCCTTTTATTAAGCAATTAATCCTGCCCGGGATGTAGCTAGTCTCCTCCTGAAGGGACTCCATTAATGTGGCGTAGCTTCAGAGGCTGACGTAGCAGATGTTCCCAGCTGATACAGGCCCATCGTGGCCCTTCACAGAGGTGGGCTTGGTGCAGCCAGAACTGCTCCCTGGGCACCAGCTTCTCACCACACGCTGACCTGACCCTGTGTAAGCCCCACTGAGGCGGGACCAGTGGCCCCGCAGTACCACAAGCAGGACAAGAACCTAGAAACTGAAGGGAGAAGTACACCTAATACCTCTAAAACATACAGCGAGCTTTTTTTTTTTACAGAAAGCTTTAGCCTGGAGTGGAAAGGACATCAGATAACTATCTTGAAATAGCTGAAGAGTGCTCAAGTGGAAGAGATGTTTGGCTTTTCCCTCTCTGCTCTCAAGAGACAGAAATATCCCCAGTGGGTGGAGGCGATGAGAGGGGGTGTGTGGGCTCGACACTAGAAGGAACAAACAGAGAAAACAAGGACCTACAGCTTAGAGAGCCGCTGTTCGCCCGCTGGCCCTGCACCCAGAGCTGCGGGACCTGGGGCAAGCCCGTGATCCCTCGGAGTTTTCTGAATTGCAAAGTGAGAATAATAACACGTCCAGGGCTGTGATGTGGATGAAATGAGAGGTTTGTGAAGCTCTTAGCAGAGAGCTTGGGCCCATGATTCCTGCCAAATAAGCTGTGGATGACAAAAATAAGAACAGGTAAAGCTGTGAGGAGTGAAGACATTGCCTGAGGAAGAGTAAACACCAGAGGTGCCCAAGTCCCTCTCAACCCTCCTTTTAGGGGGAAGGGGCACGATGGGGGTGGGGCTCTGCGCATCGCATAAGTGGTTGGATTGGACAACTTTTGAAGTCCTTTCACACTGAGCAATTTTATGGCTCTTAGGAGGGGTAGAGAACGCAGTTTTGTGCTTACAAAACGATTGCTCTTTTGCTTTTAGTGAAAACATTTACTCTCTCTGGGCAGCCAACCCTTAGTCTTTGAGTATAACAATCTGAAGGCCTTGTGATTTGGATTTCTACAGGGAAGTTATGACATTACACAACGCTCACTCTTATCCCACCCTTAATGCCAAAGCTGGGAATATGAATCACCAAACAAACCGATGGCAGAATACATTCCCCAGCAGAAGGAAAACAACTGAACTGGAGTCTTTACAGCAGGCACAGGCATAAAGAACACTGTGTTACATCCAGGACAATTAAGGCAGCAGTGTTTTTAGTCATAGGATGCTGGGATACCTATTAAAAACAGAAACTGGAACTTCAGTTTCCCCTAAATGTGTCATAAGGATGCCCAAATATCTGCAAGAATTGGAATCAAGGTAAAGGGAAATAACTATGATCTCCCTGTAACCTCAATGAAAATTCATGTCAGGGATTTTCAATTAAATGTGGTACATTAAAAAATTTGCATTTATATCCCTTCTGTCTGGAAGAGTGCCGTAATATATATGTTCCAAAGAATAGGCGACAACAGCCACTTAGAGGCATAAAACTTTTGGAAGAAGTGGATTAAGAGCAGTAACGGGTACAGCAGGGCCGAGAAAGCTGAGATGGAAGAATGGCAGAGAGAGGACCAGTGAGTGAGAAGAAGGTCTCAGGGACTGAGGCATTAGGTGTTATAGAGGATGTAGGTAATTATGAAATGAAAACTGAGAGCTAATTGAAAGTTGTGTAAAGAGAAGTAAGACCCCATGTCTTTCCCCCGCCCCCACCTAGCAAGCAACTACCTCCTGTTTCCCTCTCCCACATTTGGAAATGATGTGATTATCCTCTGGAAAATTTGAACACAAAGAGGTTCCTGAACTAGAATATCAGAACATGGTAGATATTAGGGGAGGATGGGAGGAAGATGCCCTGTTGAAAAAGGGGAGCTGAGTAAAAATCAGCCCCTTTTCCTCTGAGCTTTCAGAACAGACACAGCCAGGGTTGTAGCACCCAGCAGCTACTGAGAGAAGACTGGAGTCTTCTTTGTAAGAGACTTACATTTTCCAAAGAAAAGGTCTACAGACTCCGATCTTTTAAAAGGCCAGCTTACCTCTTGATCTCCCTAAAGCAGAGCCTACCATTTTAAAAGCCCCACCAGCACACATTGCAATGATCTATATCTCACTCTGAAATTTGACCAGACAACTAAGGCTCATCAGATACTTGAGGAAAACCTCCGACTTGTAGGAGAACAAAACAACAACAAAAGAAGAAGAAGAAGAAGAGGAAGAAGGAGGAGGAGGAGGAGAAAGAAAAGAAGGAGAAAAAGAAGAAAGAGAAGAAGGAGAAAAAGAAGAAATAACTTGAAGAAAATTAAAATAATTCAGAGAGCAGAGTTGGGGGGGGGGGACCCAAACCCACAACTCTAGCACCCTCAAAGAAACAGGAGAAGATGATATTTGGTCTATGAAACAAGGAATGAATATTATGAAGAAATAGAGAACAGTAAAAAGTACCTTGGAAATTTAAGCCATGATAGCTGAAATTAAAAATTCAATGGAAAGATTAGAAGACTCTCTTCCAGAGAGTTGATGAAAAAAGATTAACAGGCTAGCAGCACTATTTACAATAGCTAAGATCTGGAAACAGCCCAAGTGTCCATCAGTAGACGAATGGATAAAAAAGCAGTGGTGGTACATGTACACAATGGAGTACTATGCAGCTGTAAGAAAGAAAGATCTCTTATCCTTTGAGACGACATGGAGGGACCTGGAAAGTATCATCCTAAGTGAAACAAGCCAAACAGAGAAAGACAAGTATCATATGATCTCACTTATTTGTGGAATACAATGAACATAACAGTCTGAGGAATGGGGTAGTCCCAGAGACGTGGAAGTGGGGTACAGACTGACAATCCCCAGAAGAGGGGGTGGTGGGGGAGAGATAAACCACAGAACTTATATGCATGTATGCATGAACAGTGGACATGGACAACAAACTGGGGAAAGGGCAGGGAGGGAGGGGGAGGGGGGAATCAGTGGGGGAAAAAGGAGAAACATCTGTAACAAAAATTAATTAATAAAACAAATTCATTAAGAAAAAAGATTAACAGGCAATAGGAGAGAAAAGATTTTAAAAAATTAGAGTCAGCCAATTGCTTTAGAGCGCGCCGGAGCCAGGGAGTGAGTCCCGTGCATCCGAGGATCGGAAACGCAGGAGTTGGCGCGGCGGAGCCATGGTGGGCCACCTGAGCGAAGGGGCCATTGCGGCCATAATGCAACAGGGAGAGACATCCATAAAACCCATCCTCCAAGTCATTAGCATTCGTCCCATTACTACAGGGAATAGTCCACCCCGTTATTGACTGCTTATGAGCGATGGGTTGAACACTCTATCCTCTTTTATGTTGGCAACACAGTTGAACCTTCTTGTTGAAGAGTCACAATTGTCTAGCAACTGTATTTGCCAGATTAACCGATTTATTGTTAACACACTGAAAGATGGAAGGAAAGTAATTATTTTGATGGAATTAGAAGTTTTGAAATCAGCTGAGGAAGTTGGAGTGAAGATTGGCAACCCATTGCCCTATGTTGAAGGACATGGACAGCAGCAGGTAGTTCCTTCTCTGGTCTCAGCAGCCAGTCCGCCAGCCAGCAGGCCCCAGCAACAGAGCGGGAGCTCGGGAATGAGTGTCACTGTACCTAAGGCTTATGGTGCCTCAAAGACATTTGGAAAAGCTGGAGGTTCCAACCTAGTGAACAGTTCCGGGGGATCACAGGCCAAAGTGGTACCCATTGCCAGCCTCACCCCTTACCAATCCAAGTGGACTATTTGTGCTCGTGTTACCAACAAAAGTCAGATCCGCACCTGGAGCAATTCCCGAGGGGAGGGGAAGTTTTTCTCAATAGAACTGGTGGATGAAAGTGGTGAAATCAGAGCTACTGCTTTCAATGAGCAAGTGGACAAGTTCTTTCCCATCATCGACATGAACAAGGTCTATTATTTCTCTAAAGGCACTCTGAAGATTGCTAACAAACAATTCTCAGCTGTCAAAAACGACTAGGAGATGACCTTCAGTAATGAGACTTCTGTCATGCCCTGTGAAGATGGTCATAACCTACCTACAGTTCAATTTGATTTCACAAGGATTGATAATCTAGAGAGCAAACCCAAGGACTCACTCATAGACAAAATTGGGATCTGCAAGAACTATGAAGATGCCATTAAAATCACAGTGAAGTCTAACAACAGAGAAGTTTCTAAGAGAAATATCTATTTGATGGACATGTCAGGGAAAATGGTGTCTGCCACTCTGTGGGGAGAAGATACTGATATATTTGATGGTTCTAGACAACCCGTGATGGCTATCAAAGGAGCCAGAGTTTCTGATTTTGGTGGACGGAGCCTCTCTGTACTGTCTTCAAGCACAGTCATTGTGAATCCTGACATCCCAGAGGCCCATAAGCTTCGTGGATGGTTTGACTCGGAAGGACAAGCCTTAGATGGTGTTTCCATCTCGGACCTAAAGGGTGGAGGAATAGCAGGAAGCAACACCAACTGGAAAACTTTGTATGAGGTTAAATCAGAGAACCTGGGCCAAGGTGACAAGGCAGACTACTTTAGTTCCGTGGCGACAGTGGTGTATCTTCGCAAAGAAAACTCCATGTACCAGGCCTGCCCTACTCAAGACTGCAATAAGAAAGTGATCGATCAACAGAATGGATTATACCGCTGTGAGAAGTGTGACCGTGAATTTCCCAATTTCAAGTACCGCATGATCCTGTTGGTAAATATTGCCGATTATCAAGAGAATCAGTGGGTCACTTGCTTCCAGGAGTCTGCAGAGGCTATCCTCGGACAAAGCACTGCTTATCTTGGAGAGTTAAAAGAGAAGAATGAGCAGGCATTTGAGGAAATTTTCCAGAATGCCAACTTTCGATCGTTCGTATTCAAGATCAGGGTCAAACTAGAGACCTACAATGATGAATCTCGAATTAAGGCCACTGTGATGGACGTGAAGCCCGGGGACTACAGAGAATACAGCAGAAGGTTGATCGCAAACATCAGGAGAAATGCAGCCATGTGAGAAGCGCAGTGCCAATTGGGCAGAAGTTCGGAAACAAAGCTGAAATTAAATGGATTTCCTCTCACCCCCTGTGTACCAATTTCATGTTAGCTACCCAGTGCCCAGAGCCTCTTCATGGTGGACTAAGCCATTTCCTGTCTTAGGTGCATCTCCAAACCCGTTGGCAGGCAAAGGGAAACATGCTCAGACGGCCGTGGTGTCAACTGTCAGACCTAAGGGGTCCGCGGGCGAGTAGTGTGATACCGGTCACTCTCTTTCTTCAGGCTTTTGTCCGTTTTATTGAGACTTCATTATCTTCAAGCAGGAATTATGTCCCAAGGAACTGATCCTAAGTCAGCAGTCAGGGAACTAAATTTTATAACTGGAGTGTCTGCTGCTGCAGTCGTGACACCTTCACAACCTGGGCTGCCTCTCTGGAGAGACGGCGGGACGTGGTGTGTGGGACCTGGGCGTCCAGTACACGCGTCTTCCCCGAACTCGGGCTCGCTCTGTCTAGAGGTGCCACATGGTTGTTAATGCTCGGAATAGCAATAGGGCAGAATTATTAATCAAAGGACCTATCTTTTATATCTGAGGAATATCCTTCCTTCAGGGCTTAATAGACCAAGTCAGATGGGTCTGATATTAATCAAAATTGTCTCTTCTGAGGAAGGCTGATAAGCATTGACTTGCTGTCCCCTAGGGACATCCAGGCAACTACAAAGCATTGCTTTAGTTTTCAGTCCAATTAACGTGTTTAGGTTGGTGAGCGCTCACTTTGTGTACCTGTACATATTTCTTGCACTTGTGTCTCATTTCTTGATTAAAACTGTGTTAAATAGGTGGGATTTTGAAGGGAGAAGTCCTTTGTTTCCCTTGGCTTTGTTTTAATAAACATTATATTCTTTGCTTGTGAAAAAAAAAAAAAAAATTAGAGTCTATCCAGAAAGTTCTACAGCTGACTAATAGAGATTCAAGGAAAAAAGAATAGAAAAAAATTGAGTGAAAAAAATGATCAAATAGGTAATATAAGGAATTTCTCCATTTATAATGACATTATTCTCCTGATTGAACAGGCACATTATGTACCCAACCTATTGTATAAAAAGCATTCACCAAACCATATTATTTTAAATGACAATGGGAATTACATTGGGAACAAAGATCTAAGAAGTTTTCAGAGAGAGAAAAAGTGTAGGGAAAATAAGTGAGACTATAAGGAGTGAGAAACCGAATAGTATCAGATTTATCAATGGCAACACCAGAACCTAGAAGACAATAGAGCAGTGCCATCAAAATGATAAATCAAAGGGGTATGGAATTCTATACCCAAGCAAACTGTCAAGTATTAGATAGAATAACGACATTTTAAGACATTCTAGGCCTCGGAAACTCTATATTCTAAGTGCTCTAAGGGACTACTGAGAATGTGCTCCACCAAAACCAGGGAGTAAAACAAGAATGAGAGAGATGGGATTCAGAAAACAACATCTGTGCAGACCTGGAAATAAGCTGCTCAGGCCCCTTTTCGGAAATGACTTTGTTATTCAACTGAAAGCAGTGTGGTTAGAGCCGACAGCCTGTTGCTGGTAACTCCTTTGGGATATGCCTCAGCTTTTGAGCCAAGGTCGTATTTTTCTTGGGGTGGCCCTTCGTCAACAACTGAACAAGGTGGTGATAAAAAGACCCAACGTTTCTACCATATGGGGCATCTCGAAACAACACTGTGTGCCCTGGCACTCCCCAGCGGCTGGCAGAGTCTCAGCGCAGTCGGACAGTGCCCTTGCCCAGTCCTGCTCTTCCCATCAACCCCTGACTCCGTCTTAGCGTCTCCCTCAGAGAATGCCACTGCACAGGGCCTGCCTCAGGGCAGAAGCCAAGATAGGTTCCAGAATGATGGTCGTTGGGCAAGCCTGAGGTTAGGAAGAAGCCTTCAGGCTCCCAGAAGGTAACCACAGGTTGAAACAAATAAACAAACAAACAACAAAAATTGTTTGTGTACCCTGATTGACTTAAAGATGTGGAACATTGTTTGAAGTGGAATGTTACAGCTCTGTGGGAGAGTCTAGAAAGATTCGGGGACAAGTATAATGCCACTTAACAACAAGGATGCATTCGAGAAACACTTTGTTTGGTGATGTTGTTCTTGAGTGGACATCATAGAGCGACTGACACAAACCCGAGGGCATAGCCTCTACACGCCTCGGTATCTGATTCCGCCTACTGCGCCCGAGCTACAAGCCCGTGCTGCGCTTACTGCATAGAACCACACGAGATTCAATCAAACGCCAGAGAAAATAATGCCATCGAGATGAGTAAACACAAAATGTATGAGGCTGTTTACAGCAAACTTCTTTTTTCGTTAGTAGAAAGAGTACACTCTAAAAAGATGATAAAAAGAATAGTATAGTAAATACATAAACTAGTGAGAGTTTATTGTCATTATCAAGCAGTAGGTACTGCACGTAATTGTAGGTGCTATACTTTTATACGACTGGCAGTGCCAGTTTGTTTCGCCAGGGTCACCGCAGATGTGTGAGGACTGCATTGTGCCACAGTGTTACGATGGTTCCTATTCCACAGGTGATGGACTGTTCCAGCCCTATTGGGATCTATGGGGCACCGGCGTATCTACAGTTCGTTATTGACCAAAACGTCATTATGCAGCAAAGGGTTGCATGTACAAGACTAAGAAAAAGAAAACTCAGCCCGACCGGTGTGGCTCAGTGGTTGAGTGTCCACCCATGCACCAAGAGGTCACCAGTTAGATTCCCAATCAGGGCACATGCCCAGGTTGTGGGCCCAGTCCCCAGTGGGGGCATGCAGGAGGCAGCCAGTCGATGTTCTCTCTCATCAATGTTTCTATCTCTCTCTTCCTTCCTCTCTCTCTAAAATCAACAAAGAAAAGAAAATTCAAGTAACTACGGATAAGACCAATGTTATAATAGACAAGACATATAATCACTCTACACTACTTTGCTTGGCTGAGAACATAAAAATATAAAACTAAATACCGACTTCAGTGTAAAAAGTTGTGCTCTACCAGGGAAGGGAAGGATGGTGGTGAAAGAAAGGGAACCCCCCTTCTGCCATTGGTGAGAAAGCCCACAGACAATGCTGATGTGTCTAACACCGATATTTCCGTAACAGCAGTACAGTGTAGGTACGGCAAACAGCAGGAGGAACCTGTGGGGGAGTCACAGGTTGCCTCTGGGGAATGGGACTGAAGGGCGAGGGGGAGGAGCACCTTTTTCCTTCATAAGGCTTGTAATGCAATTTGACTTTAACTTTGTGCATGTAGATAAAAAATAAAGCAATTTAGAAAAAGAAAGAAAACTCATAGGCAGGAAGTAGAAACCTCATCAATAGGCGTTGGTCCCCAGAAATGTCAAGGGAAGGATGGTGGGAAGAGCATCAGCCTGCAATTGGCCTCGTCCCAGGTGCATCCCAGTGTAGTGTGAGGGCTGCAAGGTCCCCTCCACTAAGAGCCTGTGACTCGGTTAGTGATACCCTGGAGTCCATGATTAGTAAATCCTTCCTCCATTAACTCTACCTCCTGGTTTATCAAAGTAGGAATGTTCTGGCCTGTTCAGGAGGGTGTGATCGATCCTGGCTGGAATTTACTTATTGGAAGAGAAGAAAAAAACAAAGAATTATTATTGACCAGCTGGCTAGGGAAAATGCCAATATGAAAATAAAACAGAGGAAAGATACTTAAGATTCCGCGGACTGCTATCATCAACATATACTTTTCACCTGTGGTCCAGTGGTCAGTGTCTGGGCTAAAGGTCAGCAAGGCAGACTCGGACAGGGATTTAAAAGCAGGCTGCAGAGGAGGAAAATCCCAGCAGGTCAGGATAAGGAAGAAACCCTGTGTTTGCTCCTCACACTGATGAACAGATTGCCGCAGGAAGATTAGAGGATGCCGGCTCCAGATAAGGCGTGGTGGAGGAAGCCAGACAGAGGTTACATAAACAGCAGCCAGTCGGAGAAGCGAGTGAAAGGCATCTTAAACGCTGGCTCCCAGGAGAAGCAGACTACACAGGGAGGCAGGGTGCTCAGTGATAAAATCAATAAAGAAAAAGAAATTGTTAAAGGAGTCACACAGTATGTGACATTTTATGAATTTTTTTCACTCAGCATAATGCCTTTGAGTTTCATTCGGGTCTTCGCATACATCAATAATTAAACATAATAGTATGTGTAATCACTGACCAATTGAAGGAAGGATATTTTGGTTGTTTCCAATTTTTAGCAAATAAAACTGCCATGAACATAGTGCCTAGGTTTTGAGTAGACATAAATTTTTATTTCTCTGGGATAAATTCTCAGGAGTGCAATTGCTGGGTTGTACCGTAAGAGTATGTTTAGTTTGGTTAACAAATGTCACCATTTTCCAGAATGGCTGTCCCGTTTTACATTCCTACCAGCAATGTATGAAAGATTCAATATCTCCACATTCTCATTAGCAGTTGATACTGTTTTATTTCTTTTTTGAAAGAGCAGAAACTTTCTGCTGCCTTCTTTTTTTTCTCTTCAAATAAAAAATTTCAATATTCTACATAGGGTTGTGTGTGTGTATACACAGTCATATATGTAAATCTACTTAAGGTCAAATAATATTTAGACAGGCAATGTAAACCGTGATTGAAAAATCAAATGTAAAGTTCTAAAAAAAAAAAAAAAAAAAAAAGGACAAACACCTGTTAGTACACTACCCAATTTAAAAACTAGAGTATGATCCAAACCAATTTCACCCCTCTACCTCCTGAGAGAATAACTCCTCCGAGAGAGTAACCGCACCCCTGGCCCCGTGCGCCAGTTTTCTGGGGGGACAAAGCTCTGGTTTATCATGCTCGTCTATTTCTGTGCTGTAAATATTCCCACATGACTGATTTCAAGCTACCACTCTGAAGTCACTGAGTGTGGAGCTGGGATGAGAGGAAGAATCAGCATCTGCAAGACTGCACAGGCCTGTTCCAGTACCACGGATCCTGAACCTAGTGTTTATCCAGCCTCGTGGTTGGCTGAAAAGAGGACCCCTAAGATATCC